CTCTGTGTCCAGTACTAACCTGTGAAGTTGGCGCCTTGATGCAGGTACCACGAAGATGGAGCTGGAGCGATGGCGCCACAGGTAAGTAACACTGGCCTCCGCCAGTCTCTCTCCCACTCTACGATCTACTACCTACCAGCGCCCAGCGCTGAAGACTACAGCAACAGCTATGGCGCCCAGCGCCGAAGACTACAGCTAGCGCTACCACTACTGCCTAGCGCTGAAGACTACTGCAGCGCTCCTCCTGAGTGCTCCGGCCGAATCCTGAAGACTACTCGTGCCTACTGAACACTACCTACCCGTGAAGTGCATGGGAACCTCCTATGTACCACGGGTGTGCCTCTTGAGCCTGCCGAAGGGAGGCAAGGGCTGCAGCTGCAGCTGCAGCTCCTGCTAGAGCATGTGAGGAACAGGCTATTTTGGGCCTGTTCCGCATCCCTGTTTCCGTGCCTGAGTCTTAGGGGCAGGTCGAAACAATGAGGGCCTGAAAATGGCCCTCCGTTTCAGGCTGAAAACTCTGGGTCTGAAAAGACCCAGAAATAGGCTGAAACGAGGTAGGGCCTGCAGGCCCTCGTTTTTCAGCATCCAGGCTGAAACGAACGGGGCCTGTAAGCCCTAAGTTTTAGGCTTTTTGGCTGAATGTCCGGGACGGGCCCTGCAGGGCCCGTGTGGCTACGCAGTATGTCACATGGGGCCAGGTGGGCCCAATGAAAAAGGGCACATGGACTGCAAATTTTCCTGCTGGTTCATTCCGTGCATGTGAAAACACATCCATGGCCTCTGAAGGTGCAGAACGCCTTGCCAGTGCCTCACTGGCAAAGCGCAAGTCAAAGAAAAAAGAATGAAAAATGGGCACCAATAAGGATGCTGGGCCTGAATCTAGCGCAGGAATGGCAGACTCTGGTGCAGTTCCAAGTGGGGACAAGGCGTCAGATAACGAAGGTGCAGAACGTCCTGTCTCGCTGGCAGGGCACAAGTCAAAAAAAAAAAAAAAAAAAAAAAATCAAGACCTGGCTGCCCGGTCATTGAAAAACGGGCACTGAAAACGCTGCACCTGAGACTACCACAAGAATGGCGCCACATTGTGGCGCCGTCTGAGGGCGGACAAAACATCTCTGGGGGTAAGCAGACCTGAAACAAAAACTGGTGCCCATGATAAGTGAGCCAGCAAAACAAGTGGGGACAAAACATCGCCAGAAGAGAAACAGGCGCCTGTTTTCATGGGCACCAGCCTTTCAAGAACTACTGCAAAGTAGTACAAACAGAGGATATTTTTTTCTGTTCTGGCACCCTTTTCGGGTGGATACGGTTTATTCGAGGGTATTCTCACGCTAGCACTTTGCTAAATGTGTCTAGCTACAATGACGACGCGATTTGAATGTACCCATCAGCTGCAATCACGTCCAACCTGAGTAGAAAACGTCCCCAGTCAGCACGAGTTCATTTTTTTTTCTCTCTCTCCTTTGTTATCTTCTGTCTTTTTCGTATTTGCTGAGTTTCTGCCTTTTTCATATTTGGTGAGTGGCTCCTCGAGAGTCGAGACCCAGTATCTACTGGAATTTGCCTGTATCTGCTGGCACTCAAAATAGGCTAGATACAGGGGGGGATGGCTTGATGGGGAGTTTGGCTGGAGTGGCACACGAGTGAAAACAACAGCCTCCTTTTCCTTCCATCTCCTGGCAGCAGGTCCAGCACTTTCAGTTTCACAGAGACCGCAACCGGTGCCACCCTCAATTTTGCAAGCTGCGGTACCGGTCACTTTCAGGCTCTGCAAATTTCATTTTTTTTGGTTCTTCAGTTTAATTTCAGATGTATGGATGGTTTTTAGGAAATATATACGCAAAAGAATGGAAGGAAAATGTAAAGAACAAAGAGTACAAGTTACAAAGTATTTTCACCAGAGGCCTTACTGTCCACTTGAACAAGCAGGGCTTACCCTGAGATTGTTCTGTATTGGTGTACCGCTGATAATCACCCTAATCCCACTCGGTATCAGTCTCAAGTTCTGCGCCTTCTTTGTTGTGTGGTTTTTGATCGTGTGACCCTGTGACATTAGTGCGATAAAGTCGAACAAAACGTACAACACAAACACGTACAAATAGCGTTAGCCACAAACGCTCTGCAGGAATGAAAGACACATCTGTGATCTCTCTACCATGCTACAATCCAGATAATCAACTGTCAAATTAAGCCCCTTTATGATAAGTTGATAACAGCCAACAGAATCATCTGCCAAATAGGAGGCAAGGGCAAAGAAAAACAGGAGGGGGACTAATGATGGATTGTTTCGCATGTGCAAATGAACATTTCAGTCAGAATTTCGTCCAGATTCCAGAGATAATGTACTACCTTCTTCCCCCAAATACAATGTATGGTCATTACAGCTGTATTTGGGGTATATTTCAGTTTAAGTATAGCTATAACGACCATACGACGTTCATTGCATTCGGGGGAAGAAGGTAATTTACTTCTTCTTTTCACACATGGAAGGATTGATATGCAGGATTGGAGTCCTCCTCCGTGAATAAATGCAGACATTGTAGAGCGTAAAGAAACCTCGAACGTGATGCAGCAACTGAGAGAAATTAACCATAAGGTCGATACACACATAAGGGATGAAAGAGAAAGCAAACTAAAACCAGACTCATTAACCCAACGAAGGCATGATGAGAGAAAGCGAGGAGGGGTCGGAGAACATGCCAGCTAGTAACGGTTCTCAGAAAACTTACCTCATCAAGTATGACATAATCCCAAGTATCCAGATCGTCACCCGTATCGCCAAATCCATCTCGCCCATGGATATCCCCTCTAAGTGCTTTGACATTGTAGTTGACCATCTCATACGTGGTCAGAAGCACTCCTCCTCTCTGGAACATATGATCGACACGACGTAAAAAAGAAAATGCAATTCTATCAAAAATACAGAATCACCAGAGTTCGGTCCTTAAAGACATCCGTTAAGATGGGAGCAATACAGGGAAGATTAGCACGGCCGCTGAACAGGGATGGCACAAATTAAGGAATGTACCAATCATGGTCTGACTCTTTGGTGGGGACCGGGGCGGAGGGGAGGGAGGGGGGAGGGGGGAGGGGGAAGGGAGGGAAGAAACACCTCAGCTGACATGCTCTTTCGGACCTTGCCATCCGTTCAGCGCATCGATGTCTGCCTAAGAGTTTCTAATGAATTCCTAGGAATCCATACATCTGTGATGACCCGACCAAACATGGACTGAAACACACGGCTGATTTCTGAGTTTTGCTCATGGACTGAATGCCTTGCTGAGTTTCCCGCTTGCTACTAAGTCTGTATGTGTGCACGCTTGCTGGACTGCATGTCTGTCTGAGTGCTGGTTGGCTTGAGTGTGTGCGTGGCCCGTAAGCGCACTTGGTCGTTCGTTGGGCCCTCAGGGCCAGTACTTACCTGTGGCCGTGACATTGAGGGATTGCATCGGGGGGAAACACTCAAGTAGCAGGTAGGCCGGTCCCGCACCCTGAAGAGGTAGATGTGCGACTGGAGGCCGAGCAGAAGAAGACAAAAGTGGCATTTTGAGAGGCCCAGTACTTGCAAGCTAGGTCTAGGCGGGTACCAGTCCAACCAGTCTGAGTCTAGGGCCTGTACGGGCAATATCAGAGTCTGCAATGATGTTTCCCTTCGAAAGGGAGGATGTACCGGTTGCTGGGAAGGCCGAGCGGCCTGGAAATCACCGCCCAAGAGGCAAGCAGGCCGCTTTATCTCCAGGCCGGACGAAGAGCCCGGCCTCATTGTCGGTGTGCAAGTTTGGCGACACACTGGTTGGAGCGCAGGCTGGAGCAGCGCTAGCTCGGAGCAGCGCTGCTGGGGAAGAAGCAAGGAGGAGGAGGAAGAAGGACAGGAAGGGGGAGGAGTGCCAGAGGTACTTACCTGGCTATGGTGGCAGCCATCTTCATCACCTTGGTGGGCGCTGCAGCAGGAAGGCCCCAGCTAGGGTTGAGCTACACCAAGAAGCTTCGAGGCAGGGTCAGGCATGGCGGCCTGAGCTAGAGCAGCCATAGCTGCTTTGGGTTGTCCTTTGGGCAACTGGGCAAGGCCTAGAAGTCCGCCATAGCCTCGGCCTATGAGAGTGAAGAGTGGGAGAGGCGGCCATGGCTATGGTGGACCTCAAGTGATACCTGCAGTAGAAGCAGGATTCGGACTTTGATTCTGGTTCAGCTATTCAACATTGTATTATTAATTCTTGTGTGAATAAGAGAGGAGGAGATAAGGAGGAAGAGAGAGTTGAGCGAAGAAGAAGAGCTTATATCATTTGTCTATGCTGGTGTACATCATCTTCTTCTTCTTTCTTACTTCTTCTTCTAACCTTCTCTCTCCTCTCAAGTTCATTCATTTCTTTCTGCAATTGGACAGCATTGTATTATCTGATGAATGTGTATCTCGAAATTGGCCAGGATCATAACACATCAAATTTCTACCGACCAACCCCGATCTATCTGCAGGACCTGCACCAACCACCTTCTGATAATCACCGACCTCAGTACTTTGAAGGCAAAAAGGTAGGCAGACAGGAGGGCACAGATGTGGCAGGAGGGTCCAGAACTAGAGACACAGAGAGAGAGAGAGAGAGAGAGAGAGAGAGAGAGAGAGAGAGAGAGAGAGAGAGAGNGAGAGAGAGAGAGAGAGAGAGAGAGAGAGAGAGAGAGAGAGAGAGAGAGAGAGAGAACTCGTGTTAGATTTCGAGGCGGTTGCAAAGGAGGGCGCTGTGCAATGAGTTGCTGATTCCACAGCCTGCGACCCGTCAACTCAAGGCTGTAACATAGGTAGGTTAGATTTGTAATTTTGTTTGGCTGAGGGCTAACCGAGATATCTGACTGTAAGGGAAATTCATGAGGGACATATCTGCAAATTTGGGGAAAATACAGGCCCGTACTAACTCGAATTCCTACAGCTACCCTAACTGCAAATACCAGACCCGGGCTACCACTAGGACAGACAGGCCGCGAGGCCTAAGCTGTTAGACTGGTCCTATAGCCTATAGCCGGGTAGGGAGAGACCCTGGAGGCCGAAACGGAAACGGAACCTGTCGGTCCAGTCAGTCCGGTCTAGGTCGAGTCTAGGATAGAGTAGGACTACGAATAGATTGTAGACGTCAGTTCAGGGCTTTTGACAGTTGGTACCGTGCACATCGGGAGATGCAACGCGTGAACTGGAGTGGTACAGCTTCAGCGTTGAAGGAAACAGACATAGCCAGACCCTCGAAGCGTCGGCCATAGCTGGGACCTTCGCTGTTCTCTGACAGCACGCGGGCATGTCCAGAGGTCTGGGCTATCTGAAGTCTGCTGGGAGCAGGAGAAGCTGGTGCCCTGCTGATCCCTCCTCAGGAGTAGGGTTTCAGGGTAGTGGTGCTGCAGCCATAGAGGCAGCTTGAATCCTCAGAGATCATCTTTGTCAGGAGAGGTGGCGCTGCTGAAGTCACCTGGGAGGCCTTCTGGCATTTCATTATCAGTAGAGCCTGTGGCGCTGGTCTTCTTCTTCATCCTCTGAGAGGCGCTTGGCCTCAGAGGCCTGTTTCATGGTGGCGTTTCCCTCTTGAGGCAGTATCTGGGTGGCGCTTGTTGTTTCAGAAACTCGGGGGTAGTGATAACGGTTATTCAGGGTTGGGGGAAGAAGCGCTGCTCATTTCTGAGCAGCGCACAATGGTTCTGGGGCAATTCTGACAAAACGATGTTCTGAGCTTAATAAACAGTATTACTATTCTGCGTGGACTATCTTTGATTCATTGTTTTCTGGATGTGATCTACTCGGCTTTTCTTTGTGACGGGTTGTGAGGATTCTGTGGAGCGAATTGCACTCGGCTTTTCTTTGTGACCGGTTGTGAGGATTCTGTGGAGCGAATTGCACTCGGCTTTTCTTTGTGACCGGTTGTGAGGATTCTGTGGAGCGAATTGCACTCTCAGTGTACTCTGTCATATCGCATGGTTAAGTCTTCCACCGTGTTTCTCTCTCCCTGTGCTTATGTGTATGTACTCACAGGTTCTCCCCTTCCTTATGTGTATGTATGGGCATACCTGGAAGTCTATGTGAGCGAGTGTTGGTCTTTGGACAACAAAAGACCAGGTTCATAACAGCTGGTTACATAATATCTGACAATTTGGTAGTAAAAGGTACTCTGGTTTAGCATCCATGCTGCCATAACGATGAGATTTCTCATCTCTGCTCTCCTTCATTGTTTCAGGTAAGGGAGCCACAATCTGTTGGTTTTTGCACTCTGCGACTCTGAAATTTCTTTTCCGCCCTTTTCCAGTCAGCAGAGAGTCAATATGGTCCAACTTGAGCAATGCTTTTCTCTTTGGGATGATGCTCCCGGTGATGTTTTATGTGAGTTTTGATCCTCAACATGACTGAGTTGGCACTCGGTGAAAGTTTCTGTCCGGAACTGCTACTCTGCAGCCACGTCCCAGCCACCTTATATCCAACACTCACCATTATTCTGCATGCACTTGTTCCAATAGTCAATGCCCATCATCATCATCATCATCATCATCATCATTTACATCTACTCATTCTACCCATCCCCGGGTCTCAGTCATCCTCAACATCCATCTTCACAGGTCTACTTTGAGAGAGAACAAGCATGAACAAGATGGAAGAGCAAAGAGGTCAGCATGTATGCCTGTCTTACCTGCAAAACCTTCATCAGAACCCTCTCCCGTTGCAAAGGCGTTCCACCATGATATCTGTGTTTTTTCACAGAACGTCATAAAAGCCACATTCCCAGAAACCATATGAGTAGGGCAACGAAGCAAGCAACTGGTGGGATCACCCTCAAAAAACGACCCTAATGACGGGCAAGAAAAGGAAGTACCAATTCAGTTCAGGTCCTTCAGGACAACCCCAAGGACGTCACCCCAAAATTGGATTAGGTGTGTGAGAAACATGCGGTCATATGGTCTTTCTCACACATGAATGATTTTCTAAAGCTGAAAAAAGCAAGCAGCCGTATGCACAGCTCAAGAGCCTGGAAGCTGCTCGAATGAACAAAATTCAATAAACACACATATGTGTTCCCCAATAGAGGAAGCAAGGCGCTCATCATCTTCTGTCAGGACCACGATTGTAATAAAGTCCCCTATCTGGAGAGAGAGAATCTGATCCTGTGGCCGCTTCTCAGGACGGCAGACTGCAAATAACCATTCCAAGGGTTTACTTCTCCATAAACACATGGAATTGTTGCACACCGGTGTACTGGAGAGGGGATCAAATGGGCATTTGACTTCAATATAAAGCAAAATAATACCACTCTAGCATCGATAAATTCGTGAAGGAGGTTCTGGAAAGCGGGAAGCTGGGCCCCCAAGCTCATTTGGAGAGTTGGGTGGGGACATGAGGGGGGATCAAACTCGGCTGCAGTTACTTCTTCAAGAGCCCTGTTTTTTCCCCAGCCTAAGGCGTTGGCCTAGCCACAGCCTGAGACGCCTTTCTTTAGACTTCAAGTATGCAGGCTAGGGTTTAGGGTTTAGATGGTGGCGCTCTGGGCTCACCAGCGGAAGCCGCTTGTGATCTTGCTTTCACGAACGTTTCTTTGGGGGGGTAAAACTGCCAGTGGGAGGGGCTGGACTAAAGGAATGGTCTTGACCAAACAGGATCCATTCTGGGTGGAATACATCCTATTCGATGATCATGTCTGCTTAAATGAAATTGCAGGCCTGCACCCCTTTTGTTATTTTGGAAGGGATTATGGCCAGGTTAGACCGCCAGTGGTCATACCAGCCTTTGCGAAAAGGCATGCCCATTAACACAGGGCTGCAGAAAGGCTCGGAGTGCCCATCAGGAAAGGCTGGCAGAGCCAGGCAAATCGCGCACTGTGGCAGTTTGGCTATCTCAGGGGCGGGGCAAAAATCGGCATTGGGAGAAAGAGACTGGGAGCCACTCACGCTTTACCTGTGACTTCCTACAGGACGAAATGAGGATGGGCCCTAATTTTGAAAAGGAAAAATAAAAAAGCATGGGCCCTAATTTTGAAAAGGAAAAATAAAAAAGGATGGGCCTTATTTTTTTAAGAAATCCATCAGCACTCTCTACAGGAACAGGATTACAGTGACAGGTTCAACCTCAGCAGTGTATTGTCATTGTCGTTTCTCATTTGCAGACAATGACACTGGATTGAACGAGCAGTCCAAGAGTGAGAGGATATGAGCGTCAGCACTCTCTGCAGGAAAGTGACACTGGCAATAAACCATGTATGACGAGGAATCTGTAGAGGACGAGGAGAAGGCCGAGATGTAACAAGCCAAAACGATACTAACTCCTCTTGCTCAAGCTCCACCTGGATTCACCTCCCAACACAATGCCTACGGACCAGATGATGAGGGCCTGCTGCACACGGCCAAGAGCTGGGACAGGACAAAATGACGCCCAGTCCTAACACGGACAAAAACTTTCTAGGCCTAGAATGGCCAAGCATGAACCAGGCCAACCAGTGGTCCAAACAGGCACTGGTGCCCGTTCAGACAGCATGCAGAAACCCAGACCGATACCTGTCTCTTATACACATCTAGATGTGTATAAGAGACAGGCCTAGGTTTAGCCAAACACTGCCACATAGGGGTCTGTTCTAACAACATGTGTTTAGCCTTCAGGAGAGTGTCATATAATATACGATTAAGACTGCCAAGTTGCCAACCAAAAAGATAAGACTAAGTTGTCCTGCATCAGGATGCCGCTGAGAATGATCAAGAAAAAGAAAAAAAAAAGAACATACGAAATATTAGCAAACATGTCATGCAATGAGCTCAAACCATCAGTGTACCCGAGACTATTTTGTTTAACTGAACGGGACATTGCACCAGGTCACGTCAACTTTGATCAAAATATGCATTTGGTTTGATGGAAATATTTTTTCATGGGCAAAGCCTTCTTTTTTTTTTTTTCAATTCTTTTCCTGTGATGTGGCGGAATCTAGCCTACATTTCTGATTTATTTGGGATTTTTTTGCTGCCGGAAATTAGAATTAGAATCACCAGAGTTCGGGTACTCTAAATTTTGCACAATCCCCCGGCACCCCCCTTGGGTCCAGTAGGGCCGAGCCTTTCATTTTACGGTGCCTATACGGCCCCATGTTTCGTAGGAGGGGATGTGCACTGGTGGTTAAACACCAGTACATGGCCCCAGGCAGCTCGAGAAACACGAGAGGCTCTCTCCAAAGGTTTCAGGGCTCCGTGAAGGCCTGGTACTGCCACAGGGGAGGAAGCTGGTGGGGTGTTGCATACTGTAACGTGCAGACCAGAACAAGAACCGACCTTTCAATACAAAGTATAAGATAGCACAACGGAAGACTTAGATACCAGTGATCCGAACAATCAATGTTGAAATGCAGCCCTGAACATACATCATCATCATCGTTACACTTCACACAGGAAGACTGCGCCAGCCCATATCATACACAGACGAAGAGGAAGGGGATAGACGAAGAGGAGGGGGAAGATGGGAATGTCGTCAACACCAAGCCCTGTCTCTTATACACATCTAGATGTGTATAAGAGACAGGAAGCAGTAAATGCTCCCACGGTTCTCCCGGCCGTAACGTGGGGAAGCGTCATGAGTAAAAGATGTATTGTGAAACTACTTATGAGTGATAAGCAACCGGACTGATGGCCCCCAGAGTAGAAGGGGCTGCGTTAATAACAAAAGGAAAACAAAAAAGAAACTACTTATGGGACGCTGGGCCCGGTTCTCAGCGGGTGATGCTCCCCACCAATAGAAAGGATCCATTGTTTTTTCTTTTTTTTTAAAGTCATATCTGCCTCAAAGGAGAACCCATGGGCCAGAAAATGAACCACAGCCCTATTGCCGCCCAAAACAAGGCTCGCGGTCATAGGGGCACCGAAAATCACAACTGGGTCGCCCAGGGCCTGTGTGGGAGGCCTGTGCTGCTTGGGTCACTGTCCTTCCTTCTTATGTGTAGCCAGCAGTTGACAGGGAGAACAACATATCTTTTTCTTTTCTTTTTAATAAATCACTGAAGGGGGAGTTCAGCGCAGGGCTTAGGAGTCTGATTCTATCCCTAGCTTCGTTCATTCATGGTAGGCATGTTTGATCATCCACTTAGCCTGTGGTGCTATCGTGCCCTGTTTTGGGTCTATGACTCCTACCGTCTTCACCCGGACGAATAGAACACCCGGCCATTATCGCTGCATCTAGAGGGAAAGGCGCACCAAATGCAGCTAAAACAACCGGGCGTTCTATTCGGGTGAAGATGGTAGGCCACTGTCAATCTGTTTCCACCTGATGTAATGCCATGCCATCTTTGGAATATAATAATACTTTTGTTTGTCCGGATCGCCCTACCATAGTTATGCCCTGGCTCATCAGTGATCTGAGATAGTGTGTTGTCTGCAATAGTTCGGCTTCAGCCACTTCATCTCCTGAGGTTGCCTGGAAGTCCATGGGGGAAACTGGTCACTTGATCTAGTGAAACCCCATTCATGGATGCTATAAACCACATCACTGAGAGGATTGATACATTGACAGATATATTGATCTTCTCAGTCTGTCAGTTCTATTCTTGGTGTTGGAAACAAGGTTTTGAGCCATTTAAGGGGCCGTGCCATCTTCGTGAGAAACGGAGGGCTGAAACGAAGGGCTTCCTTTAATTGCTTCCTTTTCCCACGGGATAGGATGTAACTCTTTTTTCTTTTTTCTTTTTTCTTTTTTTTTATGGATAGGATGTAACTGAATAATAGCATGGAGCTGATCCAGATTTCCAAGACGTTGTGAGAACCCAGCCTTAATTTGACATCTGATTAAAAAAAGGCTTTCATATTGCCTTTACAAAAAGGCAGAAAGCAAAATGAAGCTATCGACGACAGAGAGGATGACTTCAAAAAAATGTAAATGAGAACACAAACGGAAAAGAAAACAAAACTGCAAGAAAAAGCATCATGTCTTGCTGCGTGCCTGGAGAGGCGTTTGCAACATTGATTTTGTTTGGTCTCGTCGCTTCGGTGAACCACTTGAGCCCCGATCCATTTTCGGCGCGATGAAGCTAGACCAGTGAGCTATTACGCTTTCTTCAAAGGATGGCTGCTTCCAAGCCCACCTCCTGGTTGTAATTGCTCGATCACTTCCTTTCCCACTAAGTGATTGCTTTAGGACCTTAGCGTACGATCTGGGCTGTTTCCCTTTTGACTTTGGATCTTAGCACCCAAAGTCTGTCTGCGCGATGCTCAGTTGCAAGTATTCGGAGTTTCCTTGGGAAGAACTGCTCCCACACCCATAGGCATCTCAATTTTTTTTAATTTTTTTTAATTTTTTTTTTAAAGAAAAATACCACCCGCGACAACAGATAGGAGTGATCTCAATTCATAGAAGTCTAAGAACAAAAAAATCTAGGACCGGATCTACTTACTTGACCGTGATCTTCGCGAGACCAAGAACCCCAACATTATTTTATGTTATATTCAAGAAGAAGTACATCATTTATAATTTCCTGTTTTTGCTTATTCTTGACAGTAATGCCTATTTACTTTACAACTTGCGTAGTACCATCTGATTTTCAACAAGGTGAAAATTATTGTATCATCGACCTAGGATCTACTTACTTGTCCGTGACCTTTGCGAGACCAACAACCCCAAGCTCCTTCTCCCAATGTGGAAGCAGAGTCCCCGGCGCAACAATGAGTGCCTTTCTTACCAACTTCGACCGAAAAAGCCCGTCCAGAAATGCTGCCACCTACATCAGAACAGTAGGAAAACAATCACACAATTCACATTAATATAATGTACATATTACACAGTTAAAAAAAAAAAAAAAGAATGGGTAATCTACTACATCTACACATTAGGCCTTGTGATATCTTCTTCATCAATCCGGCGGCCCTACCTTCTTCCCCCGAATACAACGCACGGTCATTATAGCTGTATTTGGGCTACGTGTCAGTCTAAATACAGCTATAATGACGGTGCGTTGTATTCGGGAAGAAGGTAGGTAATTCAGAATGATTTCGATGTCATTCATCAGGGTCCAGCAGGAATCGAACTCCGATCTGTCTTTCCACAGTTCACGGGTGTACCAACTGAGCTACAGTCTTCCCCCGAATACAACGTACGGTCATTATAGCTGTATTTAGACTGAAAGATCCACCAGATTCAGCTATAATGACAGTACGTTGTATTCGGGGGAAGACTGTAGGCTCGTTGGTAGATTACCTTCTGTTCGTTCTTCGGAGTGTGCAAAAAGGTCAGTGAAGGAGATACAACTCGAGGCCCGCCAGAGTTACAGATATATCGTCAGACAGAACTGCCCGGTCAACCATAAGCAGAGAGGGAGAAGAGGACAAAAAAATATATATAGTTATTACCCCTCTCTTCCTCCCCATATGTGGCCTCCTCTCTGTGTCAAGAAAGAAAGATGGAAGATACCCTCCTTTTCCCATCTCTATCGGTATTACCCCTCGCATTATGGCCAGCGAATCACGCTGACGAGGGCATACTATCACATGTGCCTCCTCCTTCCCCCGCCCAATCGACCAACCCACCATCCATCCGCCCGTCTTCCTCTTCGATTACCTTCGGCTTCTTCTGGTCTACCTGTTCCGCATTGAGTCGCTAGATGCATAACATCACCATCGCCAGCCCTTCCATTATCCACATCCCCCTCCACTTCCTTCGCCCTTCTCTTCACTTAATACTACTAGGTTCTTCCTCTTCCCCATGGATCTCTTTCTTTGCCCTATCCTCCGTCCCTCTCCTTCTCCACACAACCTCCTGCTCCTCGACATCCCTCTCTTTCTCTCTCTCTCTCTCTCTCTCTCTCTCTCTCTCTCTCTCTCTCTCTCTCTCTC